CTTGAAGATCAAAGATCTCGAGAGCAAAATCAACACATTGATCTCCGCTCAAGAGACGAAGAAAACAGGCATTCCCTGTCCATACCCAAGAGAGTGGGAATCGATCCCCTATCCGGCGAAGTTCAGTTTAATCAACTTCACGCCGTTCGATGGGAAGGGTTCCCCCACTCAGCATTTGATTTATTTCAAATCGCACCTGGGTATTATTTCCGGCAATGAGCCTCTGATGGTGCGGTCATTCGTCGGCACTCTTCGCGGAGCCGCCTTCGATTGGTACCGCCGCCTCAAGCCAGGAAGCGTGAACAGCTGGGATGACATGGAGACGAAGTTCCTTGCAAATTTCTTCGACGACGACACCGAGATCTCTATCGGATCGCTGCTCGATGAGAAGCAAAAAGACGGGGAGTTAGTCGACACCTTCGTCAAAAGGTTCCGGAACAAGGCGATGAATTGCCGGGACCCGATCACAGAGGAATTCATCCTCCAAACTTGCCACAACAACCTTGCGTTGGACGTGTTGGAAGCAATGGGAACAGCACCGTCTGACACTTGGAAGGATCTGAAGGTGCGCGGTGAACAAGCCGAACGTTTCCTCCGAAGGAAGAAGGCCGAGAGGAACCTACCGACGGCTAATCCTCTGGACTCAAACTTCGCCTCTCGTGGTAAGGGCAAAACACCTGCAGCTACTGGTGGTGCTAATCAAGCGTCACAACAGCAATCCCGAAGGCAGCAAAAGACTTCGGGTCCGAGACTCCAAAGAGAGTATTCCTTCAAGGACGAAGACGTTCCAGCCATCTTCGAATCCCTCCTTGAAGGTAACAAGATCAAGCTACCACCTATCACAAATCAGGAGGAAGCTGACAACACTACGGACCCAAAGTACTGTGCATACCACAGGAGGGTCGTTCATCCCACCAAGGATTGCTTTGCTCTCAAGAATAGCATTCAGACCTTGGTTGAAGCCGGCGTCATAACGCTAAGGTAAGCCAATTGAGAACGGCAAAACTCCAAAGAGTATACGAGTATAAACTGTTTCTCAATCCTCCGACCGGTACAAGAGGTTAAACTGTTCCCTGATACTCCAATAGGTATATGAGTCTAAACTGTTTCCCCACTTTTGACGGGAAGTTCCTGGAGAATATTAAGCTAATATTCTTAAGGATAACCCGGTTAGTTAACTGATAATAATGTCCGAACCAGTTCCGCAGAGGAAACTGGGGGTGGACGATTTATGTAACGGGAAGTTCCCAAAACCACAGCAATGTAATGAATAAGAACTCCCATTCTCACCATGTCTATGCACTCAACACTCTCTCTGTTAGAGTCTGGACGTAAAGTACCCACTTGGTCAAACCTTCTTACAGTTAGGACCACAGTCAAAATCCCCTCTCGATTCCCCCAATGAACGAGAGGTCCACAAATTGAGCGATCAAACCTTCCTACAGTTAGGATTGTCTCAAAACACCCACTTGGTCAAACCTTCTTACAGTTAGGACCACAGTCAAAATCCCCTCTCGATTCCCCCAATGAACGAGAGGTCCACAAATTGAGCGATCAAACCTTCCTACAGTTAGGATTGTCTCAAAACACCCACTTGGTCAAACCTTCTTACAGTTAGGACCACAGTCAAAATCCCCTCTCGATTCCCCCAATGAACGAGAGGTCCACAAATTGAGCGATCAAACCTTCCTACAGTTAGGATTGTCTCAAAACACCCACTTGGTCAAACCTTCTTACAGTTAGGACCACAGTCAAAATCCCCTCTCGATTCCCCCAATGAACGAGAGGTCCACAAATTGAGCGATCAAACCTTCCTACAGTTAGGATTGTCTCAAAACACCCACTTGGTCAAACCTTCTTACAGTTAGGACCACAGTCAAAATCCCCTCTCGATTCCCCCAATGAACGAGAGGTCCACAAATTGAGCGATCAAACCTTCCTACAGTTAGGATTGTCTCAAAACACCCACTTGGTCAAACCTTCTTACAGTTAGGACCACAGTCAAAATCCCCTCTCGATTCCCCCAATGAACGAGAGGTCCACAAATTGAGCGATCAAACCTTCCTACAGTTAGGATTGTCTCAAAACACCCACTTGGTCAAACCTTCTTACAGTTAGGACCACAGTCAAAATCCCCTCTCGATTCCCCCAATGAACGAGAGGTCCACAAATTGAGCGATCAAACCTTCCTACAGTTAGGATTGTCTCAAAACACCCACTTGGTCAAACCTTCTTACAGTTAGGACCACAGTCAAAATCCCCTCTCGATTCCCCCAATGAACGAGAGGTCCACAAATTGAGCGATCAAACCTTCCTACAGTTAGGATTGTCTCAAAACACCCACTTGGTCAAACCTTCTTACAGTTAGGACCACAGTCAAAATCCCCTCTCGATTCCCCCAATGAACGAGAGGTCCACAAATTGAGCGATCAAACCTTCCTACAGTTAGGATTGTCTCAAAACACCCACTTGGTCAAACCTTCTTACAGTTAGGACCACAGTCAAAATCCCCTCTCGATTCCCCCAATGAACGAGAGGTCCACAAATTGAGCGATCAAACCTTCCTACAGTTAGGATTGTCTCAAAACACCCACTTGGTCAAACCTTCTTACAGTTAGGACCACAGTCAAAATCCCCTCTCGATTCCCCCAATGAACGAGAGGTCCACAAATTGAGCGATCAAACCTTCCTACAGTTAGGATTGTCTCAAAACACCCACTTGGTCAAACCTTCTTACAGTTAGGACCACAGTCAAAATCCCCTCTCGATTCCCCCAATGAACGAGAGGTCCACAAATTGAGCGATCAAACCTTCCTACAGTTAGGATTGTCTCAAAACACCCACTTGGTCAAACCTTCTTACAGTTAGGACCACAGTCAAAATCCCCTCTCGATTCCCCCAATGAACGAGAGGTCCACAAATTGAGCGATCAAACCTTCCTACAGTTAGGATTGTCTCAAAACACCCACTTGGTCAAACCTTCTTACAGTTAGGACCACAGTCAAAATCCCCTCTCGATTCCCCCAATGAACGAGAGGTCCACAAATTGAGCGATCAAACCTTCCTACAGTTAGGATTGTCTCAAAACACCCACTTGGTCAAACCTTCTTACAGTTAGGACCACAGTCAAAATCCCCTCTCGATTCCCCCAATGAACGAGAGGTCCACAAATTGAGCGATCAAACCTTCCTACAGTTAGGATTGTCTCAAAACACCCACTTGGTCAAACCTTCTTACAGTTAGGACCACAGTCAAAATCCCCTCTCGATTCCCCCAATGAACGAGAGGTCCACAAATTGAGCGATCAAACCTTCCTACAGTTAGGATTGTCTCAAAACACCCACTTGGTCAAACCTTCTTACAGTTAGGACCACAGTCAAAATCCCCTCTCGATTCCCCCAATGAACGAGAGGTCCACAAATTGAGCGATCAAACCTTCCTACAGTTAGGATTGTCTCAAAACACCCACTTGGTCAAACCTTCTTACAGTTAGGACCACAGTCAAAATCCCCTCTCGATTCCCCCAATGAACGAGAGGTCCACAAATTGAGCGATCAAACCTTCCTACAGTTAGGATTGTCTCAAAACACCCACTTGGTCAAACCTTCTTACAGTTAGGACCACAGTCAAAATCCCCTCTCGATTCCCCCAATGAACGAGAGGTCCACAAATTGAGCGATCAAACCTTCCTACAGTTAGGATTGTCTCAAAACACCCACTTGGTCAAACCTTCTTGGGTGGCCGAGCCACCTCAGGGTGGCTCGGCATGAGCCGAGCCACCTTGAGGTGGCCGGCCACCTTGAGCTGGCCACACGTGCACACGGGCACGGGCACAGTAACGAGAGCCTATAAATAGGCCAAGGGGTTCTTCATTTCAAAAGGTTGGAAATTTTGGAGAGAGGCGAAGCCCTGCTGGATTGGAGACTCGGAACTTAAAAAAGATTGAAACTTTGGGACTTCGGGGACTCACTCCTTCAGATCTGGTGCTCGGCGATCATCAACGTCAAATAAGGCAGGTGTTCGAGAGGATCGGATCTCAGATCTACGCAGGCATACTCCGGATCTAAGCTTGGTCTTAGATCCCGAGACTTGGACGATTGTTTCCTTGGTGAAACAATCCTCCCCGGCTATTATTTCCCTCGTGAAATAATACCCGTCGTACTGCGTAGATCCGACCGGATCTAGATCTCGCGGTGGTCCACGGCAAACAACCCCGGCGCAGGCAAAGAACCCACAAAGCGAGCGACCGCAAAACAGGAGCTCGCGATTCGTTCGACATAAAGGAGAAAAGTTGTAATCTTTGTTTATTTTTATTTGATTTTCGTTGTAACCGGATCTTATAAAAAGACCGGATCTTTTGTAACTCAAAAAGTTGTAACTCAAGATGACAATCGAATCAATAACAAAGAAAGACACGAATTTTCCCGCGAACACGGTCGACCAAAACATGCACTCCAGACCCTACAAAATTCGTCTTTCTGACCGGTCGACCGACTTTGCATGTCCGGTCGACCGGAGTCGGGATTTCCAGAATCCTGATTCTTTTGGGAATCTGTTTTGGACTGGGACTCTATATATACCTTAAACATTTTTAGGTTTTGTGTGCAATAGAAAAAGATGGTTTTGAGAGGATTCTTTCAGAGAGATCTTAGAGAGATAAAAATCTATTTGTGGACATTGTAATCTTCTTTAATTAATCAAAAAATTATGTGGTGTGGCTCCCGAGGATGTAGGCACATTGCCGAAACTCGTTAAATCTAGTGTATTATTTCTTGTTTATTTTCATGCAAGTTTTATTTTTTATTAGCGGTGATTTTTCTACTTTCCTACTCTCAAACGCAAGGTCCGGAAGGGGCACGAATTTGATTTGATTGTTTCGAATCCCCAACAATTGGTATTAGAGCTTCGTTGAGAATGTTTGTGTGAGAGCCATGGCAGAGGAAAGCAAATCTATGATTGAGAAGTTTGACGGCTTAGACTTCGCCTACTGAAAGTCACAGATGGAGGACTATATGTACCAGAAGGATTTGTATCGTTCGTTGATGGGCAAAGCTAAAGGAAAGAAGAAAGAGGAATCAGACAAGGAGTGGGAGATACTAGATAGGAAAGCTCTAAGGTAAATCCGGTAGTCGTTCACCAAGACGGTCGCACACAATATATTTAAGGAAAAGACGACGGTGGGGCTTATGGAAGCACTCACGAAAATATACGAGCAACCGCCAGCCGCAAACAAGATGCATCTCATCAAAACACTCTTCAACCTCAAGATGGCAGAAGGAAGATCCTTCACGATGCACCTCAGCAAGTTCAACATGATTGTTGATAAACTTATCTTCGTGAATATCACGTTTGATGATGAAGTGCAGGCCCTATTGATTCTATCGTAGTTGTCAGATAGTTAGGCAGGTTGTGTGACCGCAATTAGCAATTCGGTGAGGAAAAAAGTTAAAGCTGAGCGAGGTTGTTAGCATGATTCTATCCGAGGAGGTTAGAAGAAAATCGTCTAAATTAGAAGGTTCAGGATCAGCCCTAAATCTCGAGCAGAGAGGTAGAAGCCAAAAGAATGGTAACCATAACAGGAATCGGTCGAAGTCAACCAAGAAGAGATCAAGCTCGAAAGTTAGGCCTATCAAAGGGAAATATTGGAACTACGGCCAGAAGGGACATATATCTTCAGCCTGTAAAGCACAAACGAAGTATGCGAATGAGCAGGAGGCTCATCTCATGCAAGTTGCCTTAATCCTTACTATGAATAGTGATTCTGATTCATGGGTTATTGAGTCGGGAGCCTCGTTCCACACCATTGCTAATAGGAAGCTTTTTCATAACTATGTAGCAGGGGACTTTGGGAAAGTATACTTGGGGGATAATGAACCATGTAGTGTTGTTGGAAGAGGTGATGTACAAATATAGTTGAAGAGCTCTAAGTGAAATCTGAAGAATGTCAGACACGTACCGAAGCTAAAGAGGAATCTTATTTCGGTTGGCCAGCTTAGAGTGGAAGGCTATGTTTTAACATTCACCGGGATTCGTGAAAAATCTCCAACGGCACAATGGTGGTTGCCCGAGGTAACAAAACAGGAACTCTCTACCTCACCTCACATGCGAGTGACACCCTCGCAATTGCAGCTGGCAAGGAGAGTGCAGATCTGTGACATAATATACTGGGACACATGAGCGTGAAGATGATGAAAATTCTACATTCACAAGAAAAGCTAATCGGCGTCGATTCAGTGGAAGTTGGTGTTTGCAAGGACTGTATCTACAGGAAGCAAAAGAGAGTTAGTTTTCAGAAGGGTGGAAGACCACCTAAAGCTCAGAAGCTAGATCTTGTTCATACAGACGTATGGGATCCAACTAGTGTATCCTTTTGACGGTTCAGCGTATTATGTCACCTTTATCGACGATCACTCGAGGAAGGTGTGGGTATACTTCATAAAGCACAAGTCAGAGGTGTTCGAGATCTTCAAGAAATGGAAGGTTATGGTGGAGAATGAGACAGATCTAAAGGTGAAGTGTCTGAGATTAGATAATGATGGAGAATACGAGCTAGAAGAGTTCAAGAGGTTTTGTGCTCTAAATGGGATTTGTTTGGAGAGGACTATTCTAGGGACGCCTCAACAGAATGGCGTTGTAGAAAGGATGAATAGAACATTGACGAAACGTGCCAAGAGCGTATGATTACATGCATGTCTGCCTAAGACATTTTGGGCAGATATGGTGCATACGGCAACTTACTTGATTAATCATTAGCCATCAGTTCCATTGGATTTTAGGATTCCAGAGAAGGTTAGGAGTGGCAAGAAGATTAATCTCTCACATTTGTGAGTATTTGGTTGTGTGGCATATGTTCATATCAGGGACAAGCTAGAAGCTAAGTCACAGAAGTATACATTCATTAGATACGATATTGATGAGTTTGGGTACCATCTTTTGGATGAGAAGAACAGGAAGATCATCAGGAGCAGGGATATGATATTCAATGAGGAGGTGATTACAAGGACAAAGACAATGACAAGGATAGTCAAAACAGTAAGAGCAGCACTAATGATACAGATGGATCCAAGTACATGAATTTGGAGTAACTTCCAGATGGGGGAGATAGTGCTAGTTCTGACTGAAGAACGGAGGAGACTCCATGTGCAGAAGCTACTACCCAGGGCATGGAGCTTAGGAGGCCATCTAGGGTATCAAAACTGAATCCTAGATATTTCTCATCATTTGATTACTTACTTTTGACAGATAGCGGAGAGCCGGAGTGCTATGAGGAGGCTATACAAGTTAGTGAATCTCAGCAGTGGGAGTATGTGATGCAAGAAGAGATGGATTCTCTCCACTCGAATAAGACATAAGAGTTAGCTCAACTACCTGCACAGAAGAAAGTCTTGCATAAAAAATGGGTCTATCGGGTCAAACAGGAGAGTGATGGAAGCAAGAGGTATAAGGCCAGATTAGTCATATAGGGGTTCCAACAGCGGGAAGGACTGGATTATACGGAGATATTTTTCCCCGTTGTGAAGCTTACAACCATCAGAATGGTGTTAAGCTTAGTAGCTGCAAAAGATCTCTACCTTGAGTAGTTAGATGTAAAGACTGTTTTTCTTCATAGTGACTTGGATGAAGAAATTTACATGAAGCAACGTGTTGGCTTCATTGAAGAATGAAAGGAAGAGATAGTGTGTAAGCTCAAAAAGAACTTGTACGATTTGAAATAGGCTCCGAGATAGTGGTATAAGAAGTTCGACAACTTCATGCAGAGCAATGGCTATGGAAGATGCAATTCAGATCATTGTTGCTACTTCAAGATGTTCAAGTCCAGCTATATCGTGTTATTATTATATATTGATGACATGTTAGTTACAGGATCGTGTTTAGAGGAGATAAACAACTTGAAGAAGCAGTTGGCGAAGGATTTTGCTATGAAGGATCTGGGTGCAGTGAAGCAAATTCTTAGGATGCAAATCAGTAGAGATAAAGCTGAATGGACGTTGAAGTTGAGTCAAGCTGAATACATTAAGAATGTACTTCAGAGGTTCAACATGCAGAATGCTAAGGTTGTTAGCACGCCCTTTAGAAGTTAGTTAAAGTTATCTGAGGAGTAATCACCCAAGACAGATGCAAAGAAGGATCATATAAGCAGAGTGTCATATTCATCAGTCATTGGTAGTCTTATGTATGCGATGGTTTGCATAAGGCCGGATATTGCCCATGCAGTGGGAGTTGTGAGCAGGTTTGTAAGCAATCCAGGAAAGCAGCATTGGGAGGTCGTGAAGTGGATATTGCGTAACTTGAGAGGGACTATGGACAAGCCACTATGTTTCAGGGTGAAGGATTTGGTACTACGGGGATACATGGCTGTGGATTTCGTCGGTGATCATATTACGAGGCGAAGTACCACGGGGTATGTTTATACCTTAGCATTGACAGCAGTGAGCTGGGTCTCACGTCTGCAAAAGATTATAATATTATCCGCAACTGAGGCAGAGTATGTCATAGTGACTGAAGCCAGCAAAAAGATGATTTGGTTGACCGGGTGCCTGGAAGAGTTGGATCTGAAGTGGGGAACATAGTTCTTTATTGTAATAGCCAGAATGCTATACACCTTACTAAGAATCCAGTATATCATGCTAGAACGAAGCACATTGACGTACGATACTATTTCATACACTCGCTGATTGAGGAAGGAAAGTTATAGGTAGAGAAGATTTTGGGGAGTCAAAATCCTACGGATATGTTGACGAAAACAGTGACCATCGAGAAACTGGAGTTGTACGCAACTTCAATTGGTCTTCTTGCATAGGAGATGAAGGCGAAGCCACACTAGGAGGATCGGTGGGATCGCCGAGATGATATTGATTGAAGAATGGATTTTTCAGTGTAGGAGAAGATGCTTGCGAAGAAGGCAGGAGTTCGGGTGAGCTCGTTGATAATGCTTTGGTCTCCAAGTGGGAGATTGTTAGTCTAAGTATGTAAACACAAAGCTGAATCAAAAAGACGAAGAAAACAATCCACTCACTGGTCGATCGACCGATGGAGGAGGTCTGATTGACCGCGATGCCTGCAGGAAACTGAGAAGAAATCGACATTCTGTTCGGCCAACCGACATGAGGAGTCCGGTCGATCGAAACGTGCATGCCAGACCCTGCAGAATTCGTCGTTTTGGCCGGTCGACCGACTTTGCATGTCTGGTCGACCGGAGTCGGGATTTCAGAATCCTGATTCTTTTGGAAATCTGTTCTGGGCTGGGACTCTATATATACCTTAAACGTTTTTAGGTTTTGTGTGTAATAGAAAAATAGGGTTTTGAGAAAAATTCTTTCAAAGAGATCTCAGAGAGATAAAAATTTATTTGTGGGCATTGTAATCTTCTTCAGTTAATCAAAGAATTGTGTGGTGTGGCTCCCGAGGACGTAGGCACGTTGCCGAACCTCGTTAAATTTGGTGTGTTCTTTCTTGATTACTTTCTGCAAGTTTTATCTTTTATTTGCGGTGATTTTCCTACTTTCTTACTCTCAAACACAAGGTCCGGAAGGGCACGGATTCGATTTGATTGTTTCGAACCCACAACACATACAACTATATTTACAATCTTTTGGATTGCATCCTACCAAACATGCCCTCTGTATCTGAAGAGGGAAAAAACTAACGGATGGAATTGTTACTCAAATGTTGGCTTAAGCCTTCGTTAACAGTAAGCGCTCAGTTGGTTTAAATACAAAAGAGGGGAGGGAAGGGAAATGATTACAGTAATCTTGAAGGGAGGGAATGAAAAAAAGGGAGGTAAACTACCTCCAGCAGCACTATAATAAAAAGATGATTTGGTTGACCGGGTGCCTGGAAGAGTTGGATCTGAAGTGGGGAACATAGTTCTTTATTGTAATAGCCAGAATGCTATACACCTTACTAAGAATCCAGTATATCATGCTAGAACGAAGCACATTGACGTACGATACTATTTCATACACTCGCTGATTGAGGAAGGAAAGTTATAGGTAGAGAAGATTTTGGGGAGTCAAAATCCTACGGATATGTTGACGAAAACAGTGACCATCGAGAAACTGGAGTTGTACGCAACTTCAATTGGTCTTCTTGCATAGGAGATGAAGGCGAAGCCACACTAGGAGGATCGGTGGGATCGCCGAGATGATATTGATTGAAGAATGGATTTTTCAGTGTAGGAGAAGATGCTTGCGAAGAAGGCAGGAGTTCGGGTGAGCTCGTTGATAATGCTTTGGTCTCCAAGTGGGAGATTGTTAGTCTAAGTATGTAAACACAAAGCTGAATCAAAAAGACGAAGAAAACAATCCACTCACTGGTCGATCGACCGATGGAGGAGGTCTGATTGACCGCGATGCCTGCAGGAAACTGAGAAGAAATCGACATTCTGTTCGGCCAACCGACATGAGGAGTCCGGTCGATCGAAACGTGCATGCCAGACCCTGCAGAATTCGTCGTTTTGGCCGGTCGACCGACTTTGCATGTCTGGTCGACCGGAGTCGGGATTTCAGAATCCTGATTCTTTTGGAAATCTGTTCTGGGCTGGGACTCTATATATACCTTAAACGTTTTTAGGTTTTGTGTGTAATAGAAAAATAGGGTTTTGAGAAAAATTCTTTCAAAGAGATCTCAGAGAGATAAAAATTTATTTGTGGGCATTGTAATCTTCTTCAGTTAATCAAAGAATTGTGTGGTGTGGCTCCCGAGGACGTAGGCACGTTGCCGAACCTCGTTAAATTTGGTGTGTTCTTTCTTGATTACTTTCTGCAAGTTTTATCTTTTATTTGCGGTGATTTTCCTACTTTCTTACTCTCAAACACAAGGTCCGGAAGGGCACGGATTCGATTTGATTGTTTCGAACCCACAACACATACAACTATATTTACAATCTTTTGGATTGCATCCTACCAAACATGCCCTCTGTATCTGAAGAGGGAAAAAACTAACGGATGGAATTGTTACTCAAATGTTGGCTTAAGCCTTCGTTAACAGTAAGCGCTCAGTTGGTTTAAATACAAAAGAGGGGAGGGAAGGGAAATGATTACAGTAATCTTGAAGGGAGGGAATGAAAAAAAGGGAGGTAAACTACCTCCAGCAGCACTATAATATTTTAATTCGGCCCCCTTTGCAGATAAGTTCATTTTTCTTCATATCTGTTAACGTATATTTGGGATTGCCCATTGATTTCCCAATATATTTGGGATTGCCCATTGATTCCCCATTGATTGTGCAATATATTTGGGATTGCCCATTGATTTCCCATTGATTTTCTTCCTTTTTATTTCTTTCCTTTATAGCTGGTTGATGTATGTATATATAGACATGTAATCTCATTGTAAGACAATAAGAAAGGGAAGATATTTTCAATATATCTAACATGGTATCAGAGCTCTGCTCTTAAATCAGATCACCAACCTCTATCTTCTCTCTCTCCTCTCGTGCCCTCTTCGCGTCGCCGGCGAACCGCCGCCCGACCGCCGAGACCTCCGTTCGACCACCGCCGAGCTCGAACCCGATCCCGCCTCTGCCTCTCGTGATCCGCTCGTCAGCAACCTCCTCCAAGCCGAGCTCCAGACTCAAGAACAGCGCCACCCTCACCTCCTCCGACGGGCCACGCTTCCAGCAGCCCCTGCGCCGACCAGATCCGCCGCCAAGAACCGAGCTTCCTCCTCCAGACAGGGCTTCGCCGCTCAACCGGTCGCCAGCGAACTTTTCCGTCCAGATCCGCGCCTTCCGTCGCCTCCTCCGGTCAGATCCTCGCTTCCCGTCGCCCAGAACCGATCAGATCTGCTCTCCTTCTCAACTGTCATACATAAAAGTGTGACTTTTGTGGGTTTTAGTTCTCTTATGTTTGGTTCTTCTTTGGGGTTTGTTGATATGGAGAAATCTGAAATCTTTCGTCCTATTACTGTTATTTTGGATGGCTCTAATTATACTCTATGGTCTCAACGAATGAAAAGCTTCTTAATTGGACGCAAGCTTTGGCGTATTATTACTGGCGATGTTGTTGAACCAGTCCGAGATGCTGATGAAAACAATACCAAGTATGCAGAACGTCTTGAAGATTGGGATAGCAAAAATCATCAGATAATTACCTGGTTATGTAACACCTCTATTTCAGCCATTCATATCCAGTTTGCTGATTTTGATACTGCAAAAGAAATTTGGGATTTCTTGTCCAATCGGTACAAAACTACAGGTCTTGCACACTATTATCAACTGCTCACAACTCTTGCCAGTCTTAAACAAGACTCCGGACAATCTGTTAATGACTTCCTTGCTGTCATTCAGCCTATATGGAATCAATTAGCACAAGCTAATATCAGTGATGATCATCTTCGCCTTATTCAGGTTCTCATGGCTCTACGTCCTGAATATGAATCTGTTCGTGCTGCTCTGTTGCATCGTGATCCTTTACCCTCTTTGGATGCTGCTGTTAAAGAAATCTTATTTGAGGAAACACGTCTTGGTTTGATCAAATCTCCCTCACCGGAAGTTGCTCTTGCTATCACTCGGCCACGTTCTGCATCTGGCTCATTTTTGTGCAAGAATTGTAGAAATACTGGACATACATTTGCAAATTGCCCTACTATTGAGTGCAGATACTGTCACAAACATGGTCATATTTTGGAAAATTGTCCAACCCGTCCACCTCGTCCTCAAGGCACTTCAACAAAATCTAAGTTTTTCTCTAAGGCTAGTTCTTCTGCTGCTGCTGTTACTGCTCCTTCTGATGAGTCCCCTTCCTCTGTTCTTAATGTTAGCGATCTCGAAGCTCTTCTCAGACAGGTGATATCCTCCAATCCTTCATCTTCCACTGCATTAGCTGTCACTGCAGGTGATTCTTGGTTTCTTGACTCTGCTTGTTGCAATCATATGACTTCTCAAATGTCTCTCTTATCTAATAAAACTTCTAGCAAATTTCTGCCACCCATTCAAACTGCTGATGGTAATTGTATGTCTATTACCCATATTGGAACAGCAGCTACCTCAAATTTAAACCTTCCTGATACTTATTGTGTCCCTAAATTATCCCTAAACTTAGCCTCGGTTGGTCAATTATGTGATCTTGGTCTAACTGTTCTTTTCTCTCCCCATGGTTGTCAGGTTCAGGATCTTCAAACGGGACAGATAATTGGCACGGGGCGCAAGGTGGGACGATTATTTGAGCTCACATCTCTTAAAGTTTCTGCTCCCAGATCGATTTCTGCTTCCACCACCATTCCATTAATATACCAGTGGCATCTTCGTCTTGGTCATGCATCCGCTAGTAAACTTCGTCCTTTAGTTTCTAGTGGAACTTTAGGTCTTTCCAAATTTGAGTCTTTTGATTGTTTACATTGTCAACTCGCAAAACAGCCTGCCTTATCTTTTAATCATAGTAACTCTAAATGTGATACTCCTTTTGGCTTGATTCATTCTGATATTTGGGGTCCTGCTCCTACTCCTACTGTGAATGGTTACAAATACTTTGTTTTATTCATTGATGATTATTCTAGATTTACATGGATATATTTTCTTAAGCATAGATCTGAATTATCTCAAATTTATATTGATTTTGCTACCATGATTACAACTCAATTTTCTTGCTGTATCAAAATTTTTCGTACTGATAATGCCATGGAATATCAAGATTCTACTCTTCTTCAGTTTCTCAAACAGCAGGGAACTATTGTTCAAAGATCATGTCCTTATACCTCCCAACAAAATGGTCGTGCAGAACGTAAACATCGTCATATCTTAGATTCTGTTCGTGCTCAACTTCTTTCAGCATCCTGTCCTGAAAAATTTTGGGGTGAGGCTGCACTTACCTCTGTTTACACCATTAATCGTCTTCCTACTCCGGTCCTTCAGAATCTGTCTCCTTTTGAACGATTATATGGTAAACCACCTGATTACTCAAATCTTAGAGTTTTTGGTTGTGCTTGTTTTGTTCTTCTTAACCCCCATGAACATACCAAACTTGAACCGCGGGCTCGTCTTTGTTGTTTTCTTGGATATGGACAAGAACACAAAGGATATCGGTGTTGGGATCCTATGTCTGGTCGGTTACGAATTTCTCGTCATGTCACTTTTTGGGAGCATACCATGTTCTCCACTCTGTCTAAATTTCATAGTTCTTTTTCCGCCTCTCAACCATTCTTCACTGACCCTTCCATTGAGTTATTCCCTTCCTCTGATACAGAATCTTTAGTTGAGCTTGATAATTCTCCTTCCACCTCTGCACCCACATCTACAGCATCTGTCTCCACTGATGATCCTGAACCTCCTCTTCGTCGCTCTAATCGGATAAGAGAATCTCCTCATCATCTTCAAGATTATCATTGTTTTTCTGCTATTGTTTCTTTACAAGAACCACATTCTTACCGTGAGGCTAGTACTGATCCTCTCTGGCAGCAAGCAATGTCTGAGGAACTTCATGCCTTAGAGAAAACACATACTTGGGATTTAGTGGATCTTCCTTCAGGCAAAACTCCTATCGGATGTAAGTGGGTTTACAAGATTAAAACTCGGTCTGATGGTTCTGTCGAGCGTTATAAAGCTCGTTTAGTTGCTAAAGGCTATACTCAGGAATATGGCATTGATTATGAAGAAACATTTGCTCCTGTTGCTCGTTTAACCTCTGTTCGTAGTCTTTTAGCTGTTGCTGCAGTAAAACATTGGCCCCTTCTTCAGATGGATGTTAAAAATGCTTTTCTCAACGGCGATTTGGAAGAGGAAGTTTACATGCATCCTCCTCCTGGTTATTCTCATCCTCCACAAAAAGTTTGTCTTCTTCGGAGAGCTTTATATGGTCTTAAGCAAGCTCCGAGAGCATGGTTTGCAAAATTCAGTTCCACTATTGCACGTTTTGGTTTTGCTTCTAGCCCTCATGATTCGGCCTTATTTATCCGTCGTACTGAGAAGGGTATTGTTCTGTTGTTACTTTATGTGGATGATATGATCATTACAGGTGATGATTCTGTGGCCATCTCTGACTTACAAAACTACCTCAGTCAACAGTTTGAGATGAAAAATTTGGGACCACTCAGTTATTTTCTCGGGCTTGAAGTCTCTTCTTCTTCAGATGGCTACTATTTGTCCCAAGCCAAATATGCTTCTGATTTGCTTTCCAGATCTGGTCTCACTGATTCAAATATTGCCTCAACACCATTGGATACCAATGTTAAGCTAACACCATTTGATGGCACACCTCTTCCTGATCCTACTTTATATAGACAGCTTGTTGGTAGTCTTGTTTATCTGACCGTGACTCGTCCTGATATCGCCTATGCTGTGCATGTTGTCAGTCAGTTCATGGCTGCTCCTCGGTCTATTCACTTTACTGCTGTTCTTCGTATTCTAAGATATGTCAAAGGCACTCTTCTTCATGGACTTCATTTTTCTGCTCATTCGTCCTTAATTTTAACTGGCTATTCTGATGCTGATTGGGCTGGTGATCCTACTGATCGTCGCTCCACAACTGGTTACTGCTTCTTCTTGGGTGACTCGCTCATTTCATGGAGAAGTAAAAAGCAAACTGTCACATCTCGATCAAGTACTGAATCTGAATATCGGGCCCTAGCTGATACTACTTCTGAATTACTTTGGCTCCGTTGGTTACTTGAGGATATGGGAGTTCCACAATCCTCTGCTACCATTCTCCATTGTGACAATCGAAGTGCAATTCAAATTGCTCATAATGATGTTTTCCACGAACGCACCAAACACATTGAGAATGATTGTCATTTTGTTCGTCATCATCTTCAGCATGGCACCTTGCAACTTCTTCCTATATCCTCAATAGATCAGCCTGCAGACATTTTCACTAAAGCTCATCTTCCTGGCCGATTCTGTCATTTACTTAACAAACTCAAGCTGGCCTCCACTAGCCCATCTTGAGTTTGAGGGGGGGTGTTAACGTATATTTGGGATTGCCCATTGATTTCCCAATATATTTGGGATTGCCCATTGATTCCCCATTGATTGTGCAATATATTTGGGATTGCCCATTGATTTCCCATTGATTTTCTTCCTTTTTATTTCTTTCCTTTATAGCTGGTTGATGTATGTATATATAGACATGTAATCTCATTGTAAGACAATAAGAAAGGGAAGATATTTTCAATATATCTAACAATATCTCTAGACCTGCTTCATTGCTATGCAGCCTTGAGCGTTGCCTTTTTTTTTTAAATGGCCATTTTGTGCTCTTGCATGAGAACACAATCGAAATGGACAACAAGTCAAGTGAAATTGGGATCAGGCCAAGTGGCGGAAGGGCCATTACAGAATCACTGTAGCTGGAGAGATTACGAACAGAAAGAGATCCTAGAGCTAAACACCTAAGGTTTGTATTCTTATCACTTACTTATAAAACAAAACAAAGGCAAATTAGCTTGATCAAAATCTACGAAGAGATAATTCCTTCAAATTTGCACAGAGGCTATAAAAGATGCATCCATCTACTTCATCTCCTAAAATGACCGTACCACTTCTTGGGTATCTCCTGGGGCTCAGCTTTGAATGGCCTCTTCGGATCCTCGCTCGTGAATGACTGAGGAGAGTCCATAAAAGCACTTGTTTTTGTTGGTGCCAACTTAAACTCCAAATTGGATCCGAATTTGAAGGTTATGCCCAATTCTAATACTTTTCTTGGAGGCCAGGTTGATTTGATGGGCAAGTCATGGATCTCTATAAATAAGACATTCTATTCTAGGGTTTCTTAGCAGAGAAGAAGAGAGACAATATTCTTATAATTAGGGTTTAATAGAGGGTGTAACTAAGTTTAAGTGTATTGTGAGAGAGAGGGTTTTCAAGTTTTTGTCCGTAGTTTTTCTTTGTTGAGTATTTCCACGTTAAATCTTGTGTACGATTCTCTTTGTCGTGTTTGGTGATTTTCGGGATTTTGCGAGATCTAAAAATCAAAACAAGTGGTATCAGAATGGAGTTCCATAATTTGTGAAGGTTCGAGGTAGTGTGATTTGCGGAGTGTGATGACATCTTCGGATCCAAAGTTCGATATTCTACTATTCAATGACAAAAAAAATTTCAACATGGCATTTTGTGTAACAAGGTGTTGATCAAACTTTGGAGGAGAAGAAGTCTGAAAGAGTGAAGGATGGTGAATAAATTTCCATGCAAAAGAAAGCAGTCAACACAGTTCATTTAGCACTCGCCCCCGAGATCAAGCACAACGTTATGCAGGATACCACCAAAGGGTTGTGAAACAAGCTCGAGTGAATTTATGCATCAAAGTCGATGACTAATAGATTGCGTTTGAGGATGGAGCTTTATTCATTAACGATAAAAGAAGGTATTGCTATTCAAGACTACATCAATGCGCCTTTATTCAGCTAGTTTGTCAACTTATGAATATTGATGAAGAGATCAAAGAAGAAGAGCATGTGCTACTCCTACTGTCTTCCCTCCTAAAATCGTATAAGCCGTTGGTTCAAACGATAGTTACAGGAAAATAAACTTTAAAAATTAATGATGTGACAGTAATCCTACGAGAGAATGAAAGAATGATGGGGGGAAGGAGAGCGCATCTAATGGTGGTGAGAGTGCAAAGGTTCTAATCGAGGAAGAAGTAAGAGGAGATGTGGCAGTTATCGAGGAACGTCAAAATCTCGGGCCTGAGATGAAAGCAAAAGGGAGTGCTATTATTACGGAGAGAATGGTCACATTCAGTTCAGATGTTCCCAAATGTTAGAGAATTTGAAGAGCATTAGATAGTTGAAGCTTAAGAAAAAAGGAGGGGGGGGGCTCCTTAGCAGTTGTGTGTGATGAAGACGTGGTGTTGATAATGGAGAGTACCAGTACCAATGCGAGTAATACTTGGGTGTTAGCTACATGTAACCTCTATGCGCTTTTGCAACAACAAAGAGTATTTTGACACACTGAAGATGGATGAAGAATTTGGTGACATGAGCATTAGAAACAACGAGAAGATGAAGGTTGAAAGCGCTGGGAGTGTTCGCCTCAAGCTTTGCACTGGGAAGGTCATAATTTTTCATCATGTGCGATATGTGTCATATAGTGCTAATTTAATTTTATTTGATGAGATGACATCACCTGTGTACAAATATGTGGATAAAGGAGAGTGGTGCAAAAGTGTATAGAGATGGTGATTTGATTTTGCGAGGGAGGAAGAATAGCAATCACATTTACTATTTATATGAGCATTTTGTTAATGGTATATGTGACTCTTTTCAGACTCTTGTCTACAAAGGAAGAGTGAAGA